TTTTTTTTTTTTTTTTTTTTTTTTTTTTTTTTTCGAAAAAGAATTATGTTCGCCCGAACATGTTCTCGAGCTGTTCGCGTGAAAGCGCGAACATGTTCGCGCGAACATGAAGGGGCGCGAACATGTTCGCTGTGCTACGTAGGCAAGCGGTTGAGAAGTAGAGAAAAAACAATCCTCTTCTCTTTTCTCCAATAGGCATAATCAATCTCCATTTCAAACATCCTTCAACCTACCTGCACAACATGCATGGAAAACAAGTTCAAATAAAACCAATACAACCCCATATCCAAGTCAGATCTCACCTTTCATATGCATGACTCACACACTCTTTCTCTACCTTTTCTTTTGAACGTTCAAAACAAACAGGGTCAAGCAAAGTATGGGTTCACACAGGTGTGAAGCGAAATCTGAGTTTATCAACTGACTGACCGACCTTGAGTGAAGTTGTGAAAATGGCCTACTCAAGAAGTCTGTATAGAATCACGCCGCTTGACGAGGAGGTCGTCGCAACAAGTCGTCAGCAAAGTGATCCACACCACTCCCTAGAACGATCGCTTGCCACGACACCTTCTCAATACACAATCACCTCAACAACTTGACAGCGTCTCAATGCCGCTGTCACTCGCCTCCAATGTCACCGCCTCATTGCGGCGCCACGTTTACACTCCTTCAAAGTGCGCTACCACTTCAGCGGCACCTCCCCTACGCCAATGTCCAACCACCGCTTTATGTAGTATGTGCCAAAACTACTGCTGCCACCGCCGTGAAAAACCGGCAGCGCTTCCGCACCACTGCCATTAAAACCAGGGCTGCCACCGCAGAAATCTCGCAGCGCTCCCACACCACTGCCAAAATCTTAGTGCCGCCGCCGCAAAAAATCGGCAGCGCTTCGGCATCACCGCCAAAATCTCAGTGCCGCCGCCGCAAAAAATCGGCAGCCCTTCCACATCACTGCCGTTAAAGCGTCCCCGTTGCCGTGCCAAGTGAACAACATCATCCCAAAGTCACTCTAAAATGGTTGCCGACGCTGCGCAACACAGGCAGAGTCTCCCCCGCACTACTTGCGAATGACCTACCGCCGCCGTGCAAAACGGGCAGAGTCTTTCCTGCATCGCGCAGCCCGGTGGCTATGGCAGCCTCTAACCTCAACCTATGTCGCGGCCACACCACTTCAGTGGCCTCCTCCCTCCTCGCAAAGGTGGTGGCTATGGCAGCCTCCAGCCTCAGCCTTCCCGCAGACCTCCATTCTCCACCTCCAGCCAGCAGCTCCTCCTCCAAACGGCCAGCATTCACCCAAGTTGAATGCCAGCAGCACCAGCCACAAATGAATGCTGGCTGGCTGGCTGGTTGCTGGCTGTTTTATAGCTGGTTGGAGGCTGATGGCAGCTGCTTTGCCCCCAGCCAAATCTCGAAATAGGGCCTGACCCTTGATCTAAAACAAGATCAAGGGCTGAAAATCTTGATGTTCCCCTAGGGGAACCAAGTTCATGGCCCTAATAATGCATCTGGCTGCCGCCCGCGGCCAGACGCAGTCCACAAATGGCAGTATCAAGCCATTTTCAGCAGACTGTTGAAATCAACAGCCTGCTGTCACTTCAAGGTCCAGATGCTTCTCTGCCCTGTATCTGGACCGCGGTCACGAACGAATTCGTGACTGCCTCCCTTTTTTTTTTTTTTTTTTTCTCAACTCTTTTCCTCTTTTCCTCTCTTTGTACTCAGCGCGCCTGTACCTGGATGAAAGCAGCACCGGGTACAGGCATCGCCCTGCAGTCCATTCGTTTCCTTGGGCAGGGGGCAGCTCGTTTTGGGAAACGAGCAACCTCCATAGTCATGTCGTAGGGCCCTACGAACATCAAGCTCAAGGGGTTGTTGCCCCCTGGTGCCCCAACGTGCACCTGTACTTGGGCACCAACAACTCCAGGTTCCGGCGCACCGTTGGTTGCTGCAACCCGTTCTTGAAATTGAACGGGCGCAGCTAAAATGACACTTAAAACATAAGGAAAAACAACAATAATAAACAAAAAAAAAAAGAAAATAGAAAAAACTTACCTGGACGCACGGTTGCCCGTTGAACACAGGCACCCACTCCTGCTGCTGGCCTGATGCCCATTCGCTGCAGGGGGTCATCTCTAGGTAGAATCCCCCCCCCCCTCTCTCTCTCTCTCTCTCTCTCTCTCTCTGGTAGTGTATAGTTCCCCTTTATAGGGGAAGATCCACTCGACTTGGTCGCCCTGTCGACGACTGTCGAGGTTCAGCCTCCTAATGAGTCGGTGTGAATCCGACGAAACAGTCTGGCACATCATGGGGCTCGCTGCACTACTCTTCGACATGCACAAAAGACAAAATCAGGGTTGTGCATCTTTCCATATTCTAGCGGAAGATTCACTCTCGTTTTGCACATTTCGAGAGTAGCGCAGCAAGGCCCCATGCCCCCCTTTGCACGCAGTCCTAAAAATCATCTTTTAGGACTCGTCCTAAAAGGTTCCCCGCGGCCCGTTTTCATACGCGTATACGCAGCCGCGTCGTCGATATCCGTCCATTCCTCGGCGGTGTCCGTGGTACAGAATGCGGTGGGCCTTGGGCGGGAGTCGACGGATCGGTGAAAAGCGCGGTTCCCCATAACTTCAAAATTTTGAATTCGAATTCTCGTGGACGCGTGCGCCGTGAAAAAGAAGGCGCCTCCCTGCCGACGCGTGTGACCTGAAAAAGATGGCGCCTCCCTGCCGTTCGCCTCGCGGAATCCATCTTTCGAGTGTATGCAACTTGCGAGGAGCGTGCGCATAATCGTGTGGGCCGCACATTCGCCTCCGGCGTGCGTACCGTCCTTTAGAAGCGTGGAGCAGCGGACGCGTGTTCGTCTCCTGTGCCATTGTACAGCAGCGTTGGCATCTTGGACTCTGGCGTGCTTTGTCTACGACGGCAGGGTTCCGCGGCGGGCGTGTCTGAGGCGACTGTCGAAGGCGTGACTTGGCAAACCGTGCGAGGATTGGCAGAGATGGACAGTCATGGCTCCTCAACCGGTCTAAGCGAAGAAGAGATCGACGCCGTGGCGATGGCGGTGACTGCCGTCGTCGTGAACACGATGGGCGACAAGGAGTCCTCGTCACACGACATGCTGATGCGGCTCCAGCAACGAAGAGCGCTGTTGCAGAGCGTTGCAAAGGCGCCGGATTGCGCGGCGATGTGTGAGGCAGTCGTCCAGTTGTGTGCCGCGCTCACGTCTGGCATTTTCCCGCGACAGACTCCGCGATGGTGGATTAAATGACGGACTGGCGGGACATGGGAGGACCTCCGGCTTCGGGACGACGCGACGGACGAGTACTTCCGGCAGAAGCTGCGCATGTCGACGGCCATGTTCAACCACATCGTTGCCGCGTGCGCCGCGTACATGGAGAAGAAGGTGACGCACTATCGAATATCGTTGCCAGTGGAGCAGCTGATTGCTTTCGCGTTATACAGGTGGGCGTCAGGAGGGACGTACGAGAGTGGCACGTCAGCATTTGGCATCGACAGGGCAACTGGACTGCAGGCCGTCCGCGACGTCACTTCGGCTCTGTTGCAGGCGTACCCCGACGCGATGAAGTGGCCAATGGGCAGGAGACATGCGCAGATTCTGCGCGCTTTCCGTGAGAAGGGTTTCCCAAACTGCTTTGGCGCTATCGACTGTACACGCATCTACATCGACAAGCCCGCCGGCGCACCTTCCGAGAACTACCACGACCGCAAACAGAAGTTCTTTGTGCAGGCGCAGGTGGTTGTGGATGTGGATTTGCGGATCCTCGACGTCCACGTGGGATACCCTGGAAGTGTGCATGACGTCCGTGTCCTGCACAATTCCCTGTTGTTTAGGCGTGCAGAAAGTGGCGAGTTGTTCGACGCAACTCCGGAGAATCTGCCGCACTGTGTCGTTACGCGAGGCTACCTGCTGGGTGACAACGGTTATCCAGTTGCCTGTCCGTGGATTGTGTGGCCGTACGGAGGAATCGACCAAGGTGCTGACGAGGAGCGCTTCGACACGCGGCAAAAGGTGGCACGGGGGTGTGTGGAGAGGGCATTCGGCCGACTCAAGTGCATGTGGCGTCTGTTCTTGCGAACCCATAAGACGAACCTAGAGACCTTGCCACAACAATTTGTGGCTGTCTGCACTCTCCACAATATCCTCCTGGACGCGGGGATGGACTTCGATGAGAATCTTCTGTGGGAGGTGGATGGGAACGGCGTTCGGCGTAGAGTGGACTTGGGCATTGTGGGGAACGGCGCACGCGGGCGGGGACGGTGCACAAACGTGAAAGGTGAATTGTTGAGGGATGCATTGCGAGACCGCCTAGCTTTGATGTAGGATCGTGCGGTAGGGAGGTGGTGCAGACGGGGTGGTTCGATCGGTAGGCGGCAGGAGTTATTACGTGGTCCATGTCCATGGTCGTCGTGCGCGTGGTTGGTTGGTCGTTCGAACGGCGTCCTGATTGTCGTCGACGAGTTCACATTATCGTTTTCATGTTGTTGATGGCTACCTGGTTCGCACAGTTGTGCGAAGTTTAAAGATTGGAAGAACCTTTTTTTCTGGTAATGTGTGTCATCGTCGTTGGGACTTTTTGTCTTTTATATATTGTTCCTGTCTTGAAATCGTTTGTGATGAACAGTGTCGCGCGATGGGAAACATGGTTGTTGTTGTTGTTGTTGTTGTTGTTGTTTTTTTTTTTTAGATTTTTTTTTTTTTTTTGCTATCCATCTATCGAAATGTTGTTTATCTTTATCGTTTTTTGGTGCATATCTTCATTTCAGTTTCCATGACCGGTTTCGTGTGCTGTTGTGGCGGGATGACATGTGCAACATGCTTCTGTACGATCCCGTCATGCATTCTCTCAAACCGTGATCAACGCATGTCTATTGCATGTCGTGAAGCGAATACGAAGAACAAGAAAAAGTGCAACACAGACAAGGACAATGCATGACACGCACGACATTTGTGCCCCACAAAAGACATGACGACATTCATGACACTGACATATGACAGAGTCGTGAGAGTTGTCACACGCATCGCAAAAAAGAAAACAACAATTAACCGCCACGTGCTTCAAATCGTCCGAGACAACGAGGAGCACCATGCATTGATAAAACAACCACGTGCGCTGAACGCGAAAATAAAAAGAAAATAAAAACAACAAAAAAAAAAACGAAAAACAAAGGTGCAAACCTTTCATCCCGTGCTGGCGCTACTGGCCGCACACTAAACACCTACGCCACCGTCGAAGATTCAGCCGAATCCCTCCGGCCAACACGCTTACCACCGAAACTACAATGACACAATCGAACTGAATCAACCCGTGCTTATACCACGGGCGCCACAGTAAACCTGTGCACAATGATGAAGGAGGACTCTGGCGAATCCCGGCGACCGACACGCTAATCAGGTGCGCCACGCACGATACTCCAATCACACGACAGCCCGTCACGTCTCGCCACGCGTACATGCACCTTCGTTCTTAGAAGCGCTGTCTCCCCGCTCTCCCCTCGCATAACAGCCCGCCTTATGCGTTGTCTTTTCCTTCATCTTGGATGTCATCATCGGCGGGGCCCGAACCCAACCAATCCAGCCTCTTCGCATCCTCGGGCCCCTTGATGGTCGCGTCGTGCGCAAATCTGATGCCACATGGTGCCCAATCAGGAATGTAGTCGTGGTACACTCCAGGCGTGGCTTTCGCCTTCCCAAGCCTCTTCGTGACGACGTTCGCTGCGCGGATGACGGATCGTCGATGATCGAAGGACCGATGCATGGAGGCGATTAGTGTTGGCCTGGCGACGAGATCCGCGAAGTAAAATGCTTCGTAGTGACTGCGCGGATCGTCTCCTGCCATGCGCATAATCCACATGGACGCCGCCAGCAACAGCCTGAAGAAGTCAGCCACCCGACATAGACGCTCGTAGGAGATGAAATCGTCGTTGATGTGAGCGCCCATTTGCACCGCCGCGCGGAACGAATGCGCGATGCTGATGACAGTGGACTCTTGGTACGCAGCCATGTCGTCGTCCTCAGGTCTGTCCTCGATATTCTCGCTGGCGTACCACAGTGGAAGGTCCATGTTAAGATCTATCGTCTGGGCGCAGATCGGCGCGCTGACGACGTTGCGCCACTCCTCGTCGTACCATATTGCACGCGCAATGTCCGTCGATACGGACTCCAATGGGTACTGGAAAGCAAGGTGGTACCCCCTTGGGCGGTTCTCGGACTTGAAAACCCAGCCGTGCAAGATGCGCAGAGCTATATTCTCCACCGCCGCCGCACAGGAGATCGCTTGCTGGAGATGTGATTGGTCTGCGATCCTCGCCACCCTCGTGCTGGATTTGGGGACGACAACGCTCCGTGGAAGCTCAGGTGGCGGAAGGCCGCTGGCGATGGCGACGAAGTACTCTTTGGTTTCGTGGACGATGTTGTAAAGTCTGCGTCCTTCACCCGTCGTCCAGAAACATTTGTCATCCACCCAAAGAAGTGCACGGTCGATAAGGTCTTTCGTCATGACTCCCCTACGTGCCCGGCTTGAAGCGGCCTCACCGCCATCCCGTTGGTTCGTGTTCTGTCCACGACCCTCCTCTCTCACCGTCGCCGAAACTGCAGCCTCATCTCTCGTCGCCGGAACGGGAGGGACAACACCTGCAACAACCACACCCGCGCCATCTGCCGCCTCGCCCCCTGCTGCACGCGCGTCTGCCACGACTCCCTCGCCACCACCTCGTTGGCGAGATGCACCGTCACCACCGTCGTTGCGCTGACCCGGCTGAGACGGCATGCAGGGCAGTGCACCTGTGATCGGCCTTTCGTCCTCCGCTGCGCGAGCCGTTGACACCGCCGCTGTGGTCGCTTGTGTCGCACTGCGCAGGCAACGTTTTTCCAAAGGCTCGTCGTCTTCGCCGCCAAGGTCCACCACAACACCCTTCTCTTTCCACGTTTCGCGGACTCGCAGCTGCTGCGCCTCCGGCGGAGGGGTTGACATCCTCTTCGAAGCGCTCTGATCCGGAGTATGCTGCCTTGCACTCTCCCGTCCTGCAGACGCCGTCGCCTCGCCTTGATCGTCCTCCGTCATGAAATCATCGTCGTAGACCTCTTCCGCGGCCTGCGCCCAACCTCTCGCACCACGACGCGGCGCGCTTGCTGACGCATCATCCAAACGTAGCCTCTTCGCCTTCGGGATGTGCCGTCGACCTTTCCCCTGCGCTTGGGTTTCGTCAAGCGCGACGTCTCGCTTCTTGCCACAGGCGTTCAATCGCGCAGACATGCTCGTTGGGGACCCCTACAAGCGATCTCGGTGTAGCGCTCGGCTGACGTGTGCTGTTTTGTCGAATAAGATGTCACCTGTCTCTTGCCAGCCTGGCGAGACAGGCTATCCCGACGACGCTGAAGATGTGTCCTCCGCTGCAGGATGACGACGACGCGCAAGCGCACCACGGAAGGATGATGTCCCCGACGACACCTGTCCTTCGCGATGGCGGGAGTGCTCCGAGGCGGGAAGACTGACTGCCAGAAGAGCGAAAGCAATGACGGTGAGAAGCGTTGTGGCAGTGCAGATGCGCGGCGGGAAGTGTGCTGCTGGCCCGGCGAGAAGCGTTGTGGCACTACTGATTGGCGGAGGGAACCTTATACCGCGCCCGACGAGAAGCGTTGTGACACTGCAGATGCGCGGCAGGAAGTGTGCAGCTCGCCCGGCGAGAAGCGTTGTGGCACTGCAGATGTGCGGCGGGAACCTTGTACCACGCCCGGCGAGAAGCGTTGTGGCACTGCAGATGCGCGGCGAGAAGTGTGCACCTGGCACAGCGAGAAGCGTTGTGGAATCACCCTCCTGCGGACGACATTTATGTGGCTCCGGGCGCGCAGCACTGAAATGACACTAGCAGAAGGACCGTCCACGATGTCGCGTCCTCGTTGCGGGAAAACGAAACGACGACGGCGACACGTGCTACTGCCATGCCTGTCGAGGCCTGTCATTATCAACCTCCCGAAGCTGCGATAAGGCCCTTCCACGTTCGGTCGACGCGCGCGAATGTACTCGGGAAGGACCAAAACAAAGACGGCCCGCCTTCACCCGCGGACACCCCATCGCGCGTCCCCCTCGCAGCAAACGACCCCTCCATAACCCCCACCCCCCCG